CAATAGTTTCATCAAAACGAAAGGACGTAGTTATTTAGGTTTACAGATCAAGCACAATAAATACTTCAGAGAAGTAGGAACTACACTACAACCCAATTTCACAAGAAGACCAGTTTTTGAAAGATGAACATTGTTTATACATTCTTCTATTCTAGGAGCATTTCACCTTCTTTAGTTTATCATAAACTCCTTACTAGAGTTCATAGAGTTCATAGAAAGCCAGCATAAGCTATGTTAGCAGTGGATACTTTGGTTCTAACATTAACGTCTTCCCAATCACCATTCAGTTTTTCATGTCTCTGTGTTGAATGTCTTGTCTATACCCATCTCTTTTCCCTTTGTGACTGCCATTCACAGTAAATACATGGGTAGTTAAAACAGCACTTCTGAATTCTGTTTCATGTGTCTCCTTTACCTAACACCTTACACTATTTAATTTGATCTCATTGTAAAATGGCCTTGCATTCTTTTTGTATTAGAACTCATGGTAGTAACAACTGAAGTTGATAGACAGGGCTGTCATCTGCATCTCAGCCTGACTTCACCATCAAGTAGCACAAACCCAATTCAAACTGACTTGGCTAATAATAAAATTATAAAACAACATAAGGCCCAATGGTGGAGCCTTCAATTCATACTACAATTATGAATCAAGTTCCTCTCAGTGTTTCATATTCCCGTCAGACAAGATGCTAATGTCTACAATGACCATGAACCTCATATCCATGCATGAAAAATAAAAAGGAGGAGACAAGAGATGACTGTTCCATGACAAAATTCTTCCATCTGTCCATCCCTTGTCAATTACTGGAGTACAGAGAAAGACAAGTATTTAGCCTACCAGATCCACTCATGGGGCTACTGGTTTTTACCCAATACTATTGTTCAAATTGAGTTCAGATGAGAAAGCATCAGATTGCTTATTAATACTTGCAGTGGTCAGAAAATAAACATTTATCTTGTTCACATGAAAGCTAAGTGTATGCTAGCTTTCGCTCAGTTACCTGAAGCCAGACTCATGAGTACACATTCTCTTGATGTGTCCATCTTCCTGCCTCAGCATGGACACAATACATTTTCTACAAGTTAGGTACAAAAGAAGGAAGCAGACCAATACATGCACATTTTTCATGCATGCGAAACCTTCCAATACTGTCTGGCTCTTTTATTGAAATCACAGTCATAAAAAAAGAAGTCTGGGGAAGTGAGTATTTAGTTTTCTTATTAAACACAGTAGGAAACCTAAACTGGTAAGGCATTTGTAGCCACTGAGAGAAGATGCTGAGTTTCTGTCGTCCTTTACCTGCTGCTATCTCCCTTCTATCTCATCCATGCTAATATGTTTCCTGGATTTCCTGGTAGATAAAAAAGTGGCAGATCTATTTGGTTCTCTGCTCCTCATTTGCTAACTTTTGTAATCAATATTTTATCCAACACATAGGAAAAGACAAAGTATTTAGGGATAGAATTCTGTCCTACTCATCTCCCTTTTCCTTCTTCCTTCATTTTTTTCCATAGAGACATAAATTAAATAATGTGGAAGTCATAGCTTAGATGTTGAAGTCAGACATACAACAAGAAAGTTATTTTATCTAACGGAGATGTTGAGGAAAACTAAGCAAATTGAAAATGTTTTGTTTTATTCCTCATGGTGGGGGTGGAGGGAGGATCGCAAATAGAAGAATAAAAACTGGAAAAATAATCCCATGGCATAGTGTAGATTGACATTTGAAGGAGATAAGGTAGACTCATGATTTTAAATGTATGTGAACACACACATATTTCTGTGTATCTCTGGTCTGTGGGTATGTTTGCATGTTTGTATCTCTCTCTCTCTCTCTTTCTGTGTGTGTGTGTGTGTGCACATTTGTTTATTTGTGGTCTAGCTCTAAAGAACCTGCAAATAATGATACTCCCCTCAGAATTTACATGGGTTTATTCTTAGTGAACTGTTCTCTCGGTATAAAAGTTTCTTTGTTTTTACACATAGTTCTTCAGTGAAGAACCCAGACCTCTCAAGTACACTGGTACAGAGCTGACGAAAGGAAAAGCCAATTCAAAGATTGATAATACTTTATTATAAACCAAGGAATTCTTTTTTTCTTTTTGGTTTTACGAGACAGGGTTTCTCTGTATTGTTTTGGAGGCTATCGGTCCAGCCCGGCCTCAAACTCACAGAGATCCACCTGCCTCTGCCTCCCGAGTGCTGGAATTAAAGGCGTGCGCCACCACCGCCCAGCATAAACCAAGGAATTCTTAAGAAATTGAGACAGCAAGTCAAAAGTTCACTGAAGCCAGTTTGAATGGCTTTACTGACAAATCTAGGACAGTTTGAGGATCAAGATGAACCCTGACCTTTACAGGTTTTAGACTTTTGAGTTAAGCAAAAATACACAAATTGCTGCTAATATAAGAGCATGTATTACAAGGAAAAGCTCCTTATTAAAGTAGGCATAAATCTTGTCCCCACCCAAAATACATTTTATTAAGCATTAATTCACAAACACAAAGTAATTTTTGGCTATGTATACATTAGTAGCCCATTTAACCGAGAGACAAAGGAGTTATTATCACTAGGAAGACAAGGAAGGACATATTGCCTAATTATAAGGCACCAAGAGGAGAATTTCTTTTTTTTTTGTTTTTGTTTTTGTTTTACAAGACAGGGTTTCTCTGTATTGTTTTGGAGGCTGTCGGACCAGCCCAGCCTCGAATTCACAGAGATCCGCCTGCCTCTGCCTCCCAAGTGCTGGGATTAAAGGCATGCGCCACCACTGCCCGGCCAAGAAGAGAATATTTAACAACCCCTGATGCAAGCAAACAAAAATCCAGGGGAATGTCCTGTAAAACTTGTTCTATTTAAAATGTCACCGTCATGAAATAGAAGGAAGGGTTGGAAATTGCTCAGAGTGGAGGAGAAAGAAAAAAATGACAATGAAGTGAACACACATTCCTAGGTTTGAGCCAAGAATATTGGGTCAAGTTACTTCACTATGTTGATGGATATAACTGATAACTGCCATAGCTTAGGAAAGTGGCCAAAGAAGCTTGAAGTTGCTGCCAGTTGGTGTAGAGAATGACAACTGGTCAGTGTGATAAGAGCAAGTGCCTGTTGATTGCTGAGTCCTATATGTGACATATATATCACCTAGCCTTCGAAGGCTAGAGGAATATTGCAGGAAGAATGAAGAGATGGGAAGAAATGCTGCAAAATGTGATCATTTGGACAGGATATGGCAGTTACACCTATGAACATACAGCAACAGGGCTACCTGCACAAAATCTGCACAAAACTTAATTCACTGACATCCCTTCATGGCATCACAGTTGTCAGAGGGTCCGATAAGACTCCACTCCTCCCAGAAGAACAATAGACAGTACAAACAGTTCAAGTTTTCAGGAGAAGAAGACATAGTTATCACTAGTGTAGCCGCCAACACATTTCCTAAACTCATTCTCATGCAGTCAACCCTAATTAAATTCAAGAAGTCACAGTAAAACACTCAGATGTAGGATGGAGACTTGGGACAAAGAGCCTTTGTGGGAGAGGGAAAGAGATAAGAAAGAATGATGTAGAAACATTGATTAAATATGATTATATGGGGGAAGGGGAAATATTGCAATTATAATCTAATAAAATAACATTCCATGTCTGTATAAAGTGTAAGAGAACAAATAATTTAAAAATATGTCAATATTAGTAGTATAAAAATCAGTTAATCATGAATTTATGGAACTTATAAATGGATGTGTGTGCATGTGTATGTGTGTGTATGTGTGTTTGTGTGTGTGACAAAAAGATAAATGTGGAAAAATATTAATAACAAAGGAATTTGGGTTAAGGAATTGTAGGCCCTTAGCCCTATTTTGCAACTTGTCTGAAGCATTTTAATTATTTCAAAATAGAAAGTTTAAAACTCAGAGACAAGGGATAATGAGGATATAGATATTGCTTGGCAACTGTGAGTGTTTATGATAACATACATCTTGATCCTCACAAGCTGAACTCTAACAAAACTGCTGCACTTCTGTACATGTCCCAGTGAAAGGGGCACTGTACTCATGTGTCTCAAAGAAAGAGCATTCTTTTTTCTTTACCAGCTTTGCACCACACTCCACCAAACTCTGCCTCCAGGAATCTTCAAGACACTTTAAAATGTTCTAAATCTTGCTCAGTTGTCACTTTAGTATAAACCAGATATTTATCTCCATATGGCCATCTGCTCTTCCCCAGGTCACCCTTGCTCTAGCAAGACTTCCCAGTGGCAGGTGTTCCCTGTCTTGATGCTCCTGGACAGGCTCCTCACCTGCTGGCGAGCTCACCGTTCCCAGCAACTTGATGCACTTAGCTGCCTTTCGCAAAGGCCACCTGAGGTCTGCAGTCTAGAAGCTTCTACCTCTGTGTGCTAGCTCCAAGTACAGAAAGGATTCATTTTGAAATCCCAGCAGCAGTGATAGTCCTCTCTCCCAAGCGTTTCCAGGGATCTCTGGAAAACCAAGGACAGTACCAACTGGCCTCTACAATAATAGTCAGGCACTAGCTGAATATCGGTGTCAGGGGCTGATCAGCTTCATCGAGGCCACTGGCTTGGTTTTGTGGCAGGAAAGCCAATAGAGTTTGCATTTCTAAAATACTGGAGAAAAGTCAAGACTATATTTCATGATCCATAAAATAATTTAAAACTCAAATCTGTCCATCATTTAAAGTTCTCTTGGAATGTAGCCATGAGTGTTCACTTACATATATGCTCAGGGCTAATTTCATGCTCTGTTAGCAGTGTTGAGTAGTTGTGAAAGAGAGCAAGTGACCCACAAATCTCAGTATATGTATTATCTAGTCTACTGCAGAATATATTTGTTGATCCCCTTCCAGGGGCCTACAACACCATCCCTCTTTAAAAAGACATTATTTAAACTGTTAAAAATACACCAGTGCCTCCTGAAGTCAAACAGCATCATCAACCTAGAAAAACATAAACTACAGAAATATTAAAAGTTACCTTAATACTCTGGAACTGATACTTTCAACTCTGAGTAAACATGCTCTGTGCCAAACTGAGACTTTGGGAGTCGAGCTTGAGATCTGACTCTCAGTCAGTTCTCCAGGGCTTCTCACATGATATTCAAGGTCCAAATAGGGACTTAGTGAGTGGCGTCAGTACAGTAGAAGCCCTGTAAGGATGGAAGGAAAAGAAATGGGAGTTTGGGAGAGAGGGAGAGAGGGAAGTATTATTGGAGATGTGAATAAAGTCATAAAATAGTGCAACTCTAAGACATGGGCATTCTAGTTCAGGTTACGGCAGTCACAAAGAAGATACTGATTCTTCTCAATCATATTTTAACCATCCATTCTATGGGAAACATACCTGATATCCTTATTATTTAGGTTGAATTTGATAATGCAGCATCAAGGTAACCCATTAGCACAATGAGTAGCTCTTAGATTTCATCATGATAAATCATCCTCTTCACAATTCATGCCCTTAGGATATTTCAGTGAGCTTTAATCTTTATACCAATGAGATGTTGTTCTTCTTGTTTTCAATAAAATGGTAAAAGAAATGGTTTCCTAGTAAATTAACTTACAGTTGCTGACACTCACCAGCATATAAAGCCTGCTACATCAGTCACAGCTACCATAACTTTATTGAACTTTAAAAGTATTTTTCCCAGACCATTGCCAGTTGAGAGCTCAGTCAACACCTTGATTCCAGCCTTCCTCAACCTTAAACAAAACCTAAGTGTAGCTACTCTTGGACTTCTAGTCCAGAATCATTCTGAAATAACATTTTGTTAATCTATATATGATAACCTTATGTAAATGTGCCACAGGATAACAAGAAATGAATACAGTGGGCAGAATTTAAATATATATATATATATATATATATGGTATGTCACAGCATTAACAGGAGCTAAAAGGACAACTGCAAGAATTAGTTGTCTCCCTCTATTATCTCTATTACATGGGAACCAGTACTAACTCAGATTGGCTGACTTGATAGCATGCACATTTTTGAATTGAGCCATTTTGTCCATAAATCTCCATATAACCCAATATCTCCATTTAATTACATTGGCATTGAAAATAGAACACCGTTGGTTAAATGATAAACAACAAAAATGTAAAAATGTATCTCACAGCATTCTACATACTTTGATGTCTAAGGTAAAGGGGAGTAGATTAAGTGTCTGGTAAGGCTTTGGTTCCTGGCTTACAAGGCAGCTTCTCCATGCTTCCTCATATGGGGTCATTTTTATTCAGACTATAAATATCCCATTCATAAGGACTCCTTTCAAATACTGTAATGACTTAATACTATCCCTTTGAGAATTGGATTTTAATGTGTCAATTTTAGTCAGAATGCTAGTATTCAGAAATCCCTGTGATCTTTCTCTCATATCTTGAATGAGTTTTAAATTCTATTTATTTGTCTACCCATTTTTACTCTCATTATTCCTTTGGGTCTTTAAAGACCATATAGAGTGGTAGACACAAATTGTCTTTAGTTGCTTTGGATAGAAGTTACTGATGAAGCTATGAGCTGGGTGTCACTAAGAATTGGGGCTGGCATGTGCCACTGTCTAACCCTCACCCATGACACATGCCACACACAAAAAGAAAAGTAGGAAATCTGTGTGGATCACCTACTTGTGAAGGACATGAATGAATTTGCACACATACAAATACAACCTGCCGGAGGCATGCTGACCAAATGACAGAGAAGGCAGAGGTTTGGTTTGGGAGGGTGGGGTCTAAAGCCATTCAGTATTACAGACATGGCTCTGCCATTCATTGTGTGGCTAAGATTTCTTGTGCAAGCTTTGAAATCTCTGCTCCCACCAATAGAAGATAATAATAATAATACCACAAACTTTCACCAGACAATGCTTACTGCACGTTAGGAATATGGACTAAGCACTGCATTAGACCCTGAGACTGTGGAACTAAATCAAACAGAATCACTATCCTCAAGATCTTAGAAGTATTCTATTCAACACTTAAATGCCATGGACAAAAGCAGAATCTTAGCTTTCCAGCTCTGTGATCAATAGGGCTTAGGTTCCTAAGTGAATGGATAGCGCAGGAACGTGTGAGCATATCTTTTATTGAGTATGCTGTGTGTAGGAGAAAAAAACAGCTTGGACGTAGGAAGAACACTTGTGATTTAATAATAAAAACTAGTGCTGTCTGTGGCTAGGGTTAAACAACCAACCTGCAACACTCAGGAAGCAACTAGAGTGTTGGGAAGGTGAGCGTTGTTATTTTTGTTTTGCTTTCCTTGGTTTTGTTTTGTTTGAGACATTACCTCAGGCCAGCTGGGAACTGTCTAAGTATCCGTGGATAACCTTGAACTTCTAGCTGTATATTTCACATGTCCAGTGCTGGATGACAGGCATATTATGCCACCAAACCTAGTTCATACAAGGCTGGAAACTGAGCTCAGAGATTTACCCACGCTAGGCAAGCACTCCACCAACAGAACGCACATCTCCAACCCCGAATGGTTGTTCTCAATATGCTAAAAGGAGGCAGGGAGAGGCCTGATGTGAACCCAGGCAAGGACAAAGTAACCCCATGCTTGAGTGGGAAGTTACAGTCTTATACATACACACTGTGAGGGAGAGTTGCCAGTGCACCCGCTGTCCACAGGCCATGCGTGCAAGTTTAGAGGAAAACAGAGCACAAAGGTGCTGTTTCCCGAATGTGGATGGACTGTGTGGGGCAGGAGTAATTGATAGCAAAGTTAAAAGTCGGAGAATATGAGGTACAAGGGCACAGGGCTGGGGACAATAAGGTGAAAGCAAAGCTTGAGTCCCTGACTTCCGGAGGACTGTCACAGAAGCCTGGGAGCTTTTCACCTACTGGAAGGCAAGAGGAGCTCAGCAGCCTTCGAGCCCGTGGTCCACATCCTTGCACTGGGGCTGCTCCTCCTGCTCGCTTCGCCTCACTTCTCCATTTTTTGTTTTTCAATGTATACTTGATGCCTGGCCTTTCTAAAACTGGTTTTTGTTTGTTTGTTTTCCTTTCATTGAAAGCAAAAGCCAGGATTTTTTTATTTAAACTAGAAACAATCTTATTTTATATATCAATCCACGTTCCCTCTCCCTCCAATCCCATCCTCCCAAGCAGCACACTGCCCCCTGATTCCATCCCTCTTCTGCTCCATAAAGGGTGAAGTGGTCTCGGAGGAAGGCAGTAAAGAAAGGCAAACAGTACTCATAAGGACGTGCGACACAACTCTGAAAATGCTTCTCGGGAAGAGCCCTTTGGTGCCAAATAGTTGAGCAGTTGCCAGTCATTTATGACTCCTCCTTTATCATTTCCCCTCAGATGAGGCAGATCAGGACAGATCCACATTCCATCCCTGATGGTGTTTGAGGCCCCTTCTGGTCTTTCTCAGCTGCTGGTTTGCCGGGGCTCTCCAGTTTGAGGAAACCCTTCTGGCAGCTTCATCTCAGCATGTTGAGGCGGTTATGCAGATGGGGGGGGGTCATGGGAGCCATGGCAACAGAGACACAACAAACAAAAGCAACCCACTGCCTTCCAGCACAAACACTGAAGACCTCCCCAGTTCCCCAGCTAGTCTATGAAGTCGCTCAGTAGCCGCATAGCTCTCTGGTCCTCACAACCAGACAGTGAGCAGCTGCGGCTACTCATTCAGAAGAGTTTATATATAAAATAACTCCAGCTGAGCTTAACCAAGAGACCATGAGTATCTTCTACCGCTGGTGGTAACTGGCCTGCTAGCTAACTTCTTTCATCCTCTCAAGTAACTTTGTCCTCCCCTCCTGTCTCCCTTCCTTTTTTCCTACTGGCTGTGCATACCCTATAATTAGAACTGAGAAAACAACCAAGAGTAAGGAAATTATTTTCATGCTTGCTGTATTCACAGAGAGCTAGAAAATGCTGATATATGACCAGCTGATTGCCTTTCTCATAGTGATCAAAAAAGATGCAGTTTCTCAAAGGAGATGCACTCCTGTTTAGACCGAAGACTTCAGAGAAGCCTCTGAGAAGGAGTGCAGCCTAACCTGACTTCCAAATGTCAGTCAAATGAGCAGGGGAAGAAAATAGAGGAAAGCGAAAGAGAAGGGAGGCAAAAGTGGGAAGAGGAATGAATGGTGTGGGGTGTGGGTACGGACAGTTTCCTAGAAAATTGTACAGCTGGTGCAGACACGTTGGATGAAGGACACCGAGGAATAGATGAATAACTGCTTTCCAGCTTGAGTGCAGGGCATGGCTGCCCCTGAGAGTGGCAGGGTTGACAGTACAATCAACTCAGAACAGGTTGAAGAGTTTAACCTGTGTCCTGGACATGGAAATGAAGCTTCTTGACACTGGGGTGGGCACTAAGTTTTGGCGTCACTAATATTAATATCCTGGCATTATACCCTGTCCCCTGACAACTGGCATTAGGCAGATACTTAGACAGCTCAAAGGGCCATGTGTTGCGTGGCTATGTCATGGCTACATCGTGCGTTACATGGCCGCATAAGGACTCTGTAGGAATGTGCAAGCTTCCCCTTTCAAAAGAGCACCTCTAGCCCGTTTCCCCCTTCCATCTCTGTTCCCAGTTGGGCAACACCTACACCTCCCTTTGTTCCCTTTCCCCAATAAACTCCACATGGTGGGTTTTGTGGTTCCTGTTTCATCGCCCACAGCTGCAGCAAAACAACAACAATTAAAAAGTGTAACAACAAAAGCAAAAAGCCAGTGAGTCAGAACTGAGGTCTTCCGCCAGGGGAAAGAAGCTATCGATGGAGAGGAGTGAGAAGGCGAGAGTAGAGTGGAAGTGACATGGAAGGGAGAAACCGATATTCACAGAGCATGAACATGGTGCGTCAGTATCTCACATACATGAGGAACTCAAACTATTCAATAGCGAGCAAGTTGAACAACTAATTTTAAAAAATGAATGAACGTCCCCAAAAGAAATTTCTACAAAGAAGAAAAGCAGATGGCCAAAAGGTACACAAAAAGGTCACTAGTTATCAGAGCAATACAAAAACAAGCCACAATATGAGGTCACCTCACACTGGTTAGGCAAGTATTATTGAGAAAGAAAAACGAGTGTTAATGCTGGTATGCGGAGAGATGGGAACCCTGGCACATTCCTCGGAGTGTAAAATAGTGCAATTGCTATGAAAGACAATACAGTCAGTTACTC